TAAACAAGAAAATACACTTGAATATATAACGTGTTTGTTTAGATTAAACACAGGGGAGGGGGAGAGACTGCTTTCATAGAATTGGTACATTTCTATAACTCTTTCAGCTAAACATAAATAATGTAAACAAAAATATTTGAAAAAAAAAATCTGAATACAGAAATTGGGAAATTCTATCCACCCTAAGAGAACGTACTTCCACATCTACCTAAACATCTTGGTTGAATGATACGCAAATTGACATCAACGAATACTTAAAGTTGGTGTAATAGTTGGGTGGCTTTCACTACACATTACGGCTTCAGGCAAATAGATTTCGTCCCATCTATCGCTCCAAGTTAATATCTGAAAGGCTTGTGTTTTGTTCGGGGGAGGAGAGGTAAATACCCGACTACTTTAAATATTAAATATTAGTAGATTTGAATTTTCCTCTCAATCTACTAAAATATTTAAGTGAATATGAAAGTACATTCAGTACATTTAGGGTGGATAGAATTTCCCAATTTCTGTAACAGATTTTTTTTTTAAATTCAAATAATAACATTTTTATAATTTAAATATTAAGAATTTATTTTCAACATATCGTCGGCACCATGTTAAAATAACACATATTAGAGCCTGTCCAACGTTGCACATTCGTTTCTTTAACATGGTGCCGACAAAATGATCTCATGGTATCATTTCAAATCAATTAATAATCAAGATACTTTTAACTATAATAAAAATCTTTTTAAGTATTTTGTGCTCAATTTTTTTCAAAATATTCACGGTATTTCACTAAGTAATTACAGCCGTCACAGTTAAAAATCGGTCAAACCATTCGCTCAAAACATACGTACCTTTTTAGCGGATTGATTAAACACACTTTACACAGTAATTTGTCAGAATTTAAATCGATTAAACACATATTATTTAATCACGATCCAGTATTTTTAGTTCAAATTGTTTCACACAGGAAATCTCACCGAATAAAGTGACCCATCATCTATCCAGCCGTTGGCTTAAAACATCGTTACTAAGCATTTTGCAAATTGATTAAACACATTCTAATAGGTTGTATAAAAAATAAAAAAAATGACCATTTTTATCAAATTCAAGATTTCAAAAGTCTGTAAATATTTTAATCCTATTTAAAACTTACTAATATTTAATACTCCCTTTAAATCATTCTCTAAGCTTGTTTAATCCCATTCGACTTCTTCAAAAAAAGCCTAAGTTTAGTTATTTGTTTCAAAGAAGAAACATGACAGTTTCCTACGAACTTCTCGTAATTTTAAGACATTTCTGGAAAAAAAATTCCGCAGCCGCTGAAGCAACTCGTGAAATTATTAAATATGAAAGTGAAGGTGTCCTTGACCAGCGCATTGCGCGGCCTTTGTTTGAAAAAAATAGTAGTGGAAAAACGACGTTGAAAATGAAGAAAGGCTCCAGGCAACCACAGGTATTGGCGAACTTGCCAGGGAGTTAAGTCTGTCGAAAGATGCTGTTAGTTGTCACCTACTCTCCTCCATGGGGAAGGCCTAAAATAGCGGTAGAATGGTCCCTCACGAACTTACTCCTCAGGAATCAGTTAAGACGTTAGAAATTTCTCATCCACCATATAGTCTAGGCCTCGCACCATCAGATTACTAATTATTTAGATCGATGGCCCATTTTCTTGAAGAGAAAAAATTTGATAATTTTACAGAAGTTGAAATTGCGGTCCAACAGTTCTTTGACATCCATCTCAAAGAATGGTATCAGCTTGGGATAGAGCAATTGGCTAGCAGATGACTAATGACGGTAGATAACAAACGGTCATTTTTATTTTTTATACACCCTATTATTTAATAACGGTTCTATATTTTAAGCTCAAATTGTTTCAAAACACTCAAGGGATCTCACCGAAAAATTTGTGCTATTAAACAAAAATTAACTCAGCCGCTCACATAAAGAATTGTTACAATGCTTTTTGCAAATCTATTAAACACATTTTATTTAATACTGAGTCGGTATTTTTGGCTCGAATAGTTTTAAATCACTCAGGGAATTTAAATAAATAATTTGAGCCATCAAACTTAAAAATCGATTGGCTTCAAAAAGCGTTTAGCTAATAGTGGGCGACCTAAACAAATAACCCTCGTTTCGCTTCGCCGCTTAGTCGAATAAAAATGAAAAAAATCTTTATTTTCTTATTGTGTACAACCTCAAATAAAAATACAACGTTTTTCACAGTACAACTAGTTTACCGCGGAAAATAAGAATACCACGTGAAAATTGATGGGTGATTGAATCATAAAATCCTAGGATTTGTTGATATATATTATTATATTTGAATATAAATGACAATTTAAATAAAAGCAATATTTAGGTAGCAATGAAATAGTTACATATCTACTACTAGGCCTTAAACTAGCCAGCAGCCTTGGCAACTTTTCTTAATCAGTTTTAGTTAACACATTTTATTCATATATTTATTATTAATTTTATTTTTATTTTACCTCAAATTGTTGGAAGGGGTAGCGAAATGAAATTCTCACCTCCTCAACATTTTTATTGAGGCCCCCCTCGCTCCCCGTACTGTGCGTCTATGCTTTGATTACTTTAAATACATCTCTACAAAGTTTCAACTGTTGCATATATAATAATAATAATAATAAGGCCTAGCGAACCCAAATGTTCGATGCCGATACCACCAATCAATGTCCACATACTTCCAACCACCGGGTTCCGTCTAAATCCAACCGAGCTAAATCAGCCTTAACGCAGTTTTCCCACCTTAGCTTTGGTCTACTCCTCGGTCGCTTGTCAGGCGGTACAACGGTCAATTATATTAACCGGATACAGTTCACACAATTCAGTGTTGTGTAAACGCCTAAATTTTTCGGTTGACTCGTCCTTTTTCGGGTCGAATATTCTGCGCAATACTTTATTTTCAAAAACCTTAAGACGATGCTGTTGTATATATAGATTAACAAAATCAAGAATTGTTTTTTTTTATTTGTGATCAGTTTTACTACAGTTTTATTGATGAATGTTTTTAAAATTTGGTCATAAGAAATTGCACCACAGTATTTATCTAATTTAATTCTTTACGGTCTACAAGAACCCACGACTTGGTCAATTATCTGTTATTTAATTCTGAAACAAAAATAAAAGGGCTTCTCCACATTAATACATTTTTGACAGAGCAATCATATTGTTTATTTAGGTATCACAACATATTAGCAATATGCTCATCATAACATATTAGCAATATGTTGATCACAACATATTAGCAATATGTTGATCACAACATATTAGCAATATGCTGATCATAACATGTTAGCAATATGTTTTAATTATTCATTTTCTGTTGGCATTAGAGACCTTGTAGATCATTTGCCGCTTCAACCAGCCTTTTCAATCTCTACCTATCTTGGGCTATCACTTTCTAGTTATTTGCATCCAGCTCTACAGTATCTTTATTGATTCGATCTATCCATCAAGTTTTTGTTCTTCACAAGGTCTCTTGCCTACTATCAATCGTTTCGGTTATCGTATGGAGAATTTTCCACTCAAATCTTACAATACTTCTTTCTATCGTCCTGTTTTGTGTCCAGGTCTTGTAGTTGTATACCAGAACTGTCTTTATCGTAGCTTTGTACACCCTAAATTTGAGATTCTTTGAGGTTTTTCAATACTTTTCAATATTCAATAGCTTTTATAGGAATAAATAGACCAACGGAAATCTATAACTAATGCAAACAGAGCTTTCTTGTAGTTGTTATACCACTGGTCTATTTATCCTATTCTCAGGAACGATTTCCTTTCTAAACAGATTATGTTGTTGGGATAGAACTTTCGGCTTACTATCATATATTTTTAGCGAATCTCCCATTATCCTCTAGGTTATGTCCAAGGACAGCTATGTCACTGGCATATCCAAGGATTTTATGATTCGTTCCGATGTGCACCCCTCCATTTTAAATGTTATTAATTATTATTGTTATTAACTATTGTTAATTCATCAAATTATAATTTTTGTAAACATTATGGTTTAAAGTTCCTACTCAGTTTTACCATTTATGTGTTTACTCTACAGATACTATTGAATAGTATCCAATATTGTTAATGAATGGCTTAAGATCTTTTTTAGATTTATTAATTTATTTTTAAGACCTATTCGTTAGAAAATTAAGATCCTTAGATCTGGGCACTAGTTATACCTGATGTAGTTAAGACATATCCTGAAACAAGACATTAAATTTACAATGGATACTGAATATTAGTTTTGGACATTAAAATTTTCAAATCATGAATTCAACAGAAAAGGTGTTATACATTATTAAATTTGATTTTAAAAAAGTACTAGAATATTGTATATACATTAAAAAAAATGTATATCAATCTTGATTCTTTTATACTCATAATGTTACAAAACAAGGGCATATGCAGCTTTCATATGGGGGAGGGGAGAAGGGAGATAAGCCCTGAATAAAGGAAAATCCCCAAAAAAGTAGGTAAATGATTTCAAACTCTATAATATACTAAGTAGCTTATTGCTATTAAAGTTTATAAATACTTTTATCTGTAACACAGTATACACATAAAACAACAATTTAAAAATACATAATTTTCTTGGGTTTTAGGAAAATTTTCGTATTATATTACGTTTTATTTTCTTCTAAATTATTTAGGGGGCAATGCCCCTCCCTACCCTCTTCTGTGGACGCCCATGTTATAAAATAGTATAACAGTATGGTTTTATCCCCCCCCCCTCTTCTGCTTTGCCTTTAAATGTTATTCTAAGTATAAAATCAGTTAATAATTACCTGGGAGTATAAATTTAACTTTCAATTTGATTTGTGTTGCTTTGATAACAATATTTACAGCACAACCTTTAAATCATATTTTTTAAAAAATCTGAATATTTCACTTACTAAAAAAATAAGAAGGACTATGATGGAACTAAATCATTAATAGTTTTACTTTGATAAAATTAATGAGATGGTACTTTAGTATGACTGTAATCAACTTACACTACAGCAAGAATATTTCTGCTGTGATTTCTGGTCTTCAAAACAATTTATGCAAACATTCTCTTTCAAATCGTTCCTTCCATAACTTTGAAGACATTTTGAACACTGGATGGTTTCTATTTGCAAATGGAACTTGGCATGAAGCCTAGTTTCTGCCTCCGAAACAAGTGTCTGTCGACAGATGACACAAGGTGCTGGCAGTGTAAGTTGATATGTTTTTGATAAACAGTTATTGTGACTCATCATATGACTTATGAAGCTTTCCTCCGAGGTTATGACCACTTTGCAATGTGAGCATGTTGAGCCATATATGACCTAAAACAAATTTTTAAAATATTTTTTTAAATTAAGGATAAGTAATTACATACTTTGAATACTAATACCCGCAGAGTGCAACTGATGGATGCAGTTGCTGATGTCTTCCGAACAGTGTTCCTGAGTACAGTACACTGCCCACAAACTACACTACCACATGAACATTGACACCAAGGTCTCACACCAGTACACACCCTGGGGCTACCTTACCTAGGAAGACTTGGCAGCTGGTATGAAATGCAAACTACCCACTAATATGAAGCAACGCAACAGAAGAATTGCCTCGTATGAATCCAGAGTAAGGTCTGCTCTGGATGAAATGGATTACCAACTCCCGGCATCGGCAGGTAGTGCGAGGTTTGTCCGGATGCCTTATGGACCCAAGAGACTGACAAGCTCAGGATTAACATCATCTGATTCCAGCTTGGAAACTGATCGGCCTCCCGCATGAAGATCCAACCGTCAGAGGAATCGGCCTCAGCACATGAGATGAACACGTGATATGAATATAGCAGTCATCCGTGTTTATTATCTGGCTACAAATTTGGAAACGGAAAAGACAGAAAGTGAGATATAAGTAAGCTAGTAGTGCACTGGAAAGAAAAAAATCGTCTAGTTAAAGTTTCTGCTCCATGAACAGCCGATCAAATTTTATCTTGAAAGTTCCTATCCTATTCAGAGCTTAATGACATCAAGGGAGAGATCACAGCAAGCCTAAGCCAGGACACTACATATGTAAATACAACAGTCGATAACGCTATCCAAACTCAGTGGAAAATGATACAGCCCCGAAAGACCTGAAAGAAATCCGCGATTTATTACTGGCTGAAAACTAAATTGAAGGTTTGCCACTTGAATGCAGACTGATGCCTCCAAAAGTTCTATTCTGCACTAAGAGTAACGATACAATTTAGGTAGTAAATGATGAAATGATGCAATTTATCGGTGATTGAGATCTGGTTGAAGTTAAACACTGGATTTGTATTGAAGGAAGAGTAGTGTCAAAAATGTCACCGGTCAGACCTGTTCAAAGATAATGTACCAGCAAAAAGTAAAGACCACAAATACAAAGAAAAATTGCCACCATGAAAGAGAAGACTGACAAATAAAATGGAAACACTACGTTGTAATATTGGCATAATTACTTAATATATATTATAAAAGCAATAAACACCTGCTCCTGCAATGTCCTATATATTTGGAGTGATGAAATGGACTGACACTAATTTCCAAGTGCTGGACCATAAAATTAGAGTTATGATGACTGCGACCAGAATAAGGTACCCAAAATCATCATTCTCAAGACTGTACCTCCCAAAGAAACAAGGTGGAAGATGATTCTAATTCTTTTCAAAAGCTGTTAAGAACAAGAAATACAGCTGAAAAATTATTACCCACAACAATTCGCAATTAATGACTACCATTATAACAATCGTCAATAAATTAACTGCATTAAACCTCGTAACTGAATCTAAAAAAGCAATAACCAGTGAGGAACTGATGAGAGATTGGAGCAGTAAACAGCTTCAAGGTAGGTTTTTTATTTATAAATTAGAAATAAAATTTGACAATTTATTTTAATTTAATTTTTATATTTATTCATTTATTGAAACTCACAAGTGTATAATTAAAATAAAATAAGTAATCTGCTATAAGAATATAAAACATGATAGTAGCTTGTCATGAATCTACCCACTGGTAGCACTTCCATAATTATTTTAATTTAGATCTTTGGTTATCTTCTTTTCAGACACAACAAGGATGTTGTCAGGTTTGGGATGAAAGGTTATGAACTATAGGGTTTGGGTGGCCAAGAAGTTTTTGAACATGTATACCTATTTTGGCCCAAATCTGCAACAATGAAATATTGAGGTTTTCATGGATAATTTTATTTGTAACATAATAAGAAGCATTAAGAATTATACAAAGCATTTTTAACAGTAAGTATTGATTAAGGAAATAATTCAATGGTTTTGTGGAGTCCCAAAGCTCAATTCTGTATCTCTAAATGATTCTGAAAATTAGTGCATATAATTTTTGTTGTGGTATGATGAAAGTTTAGAGCGTTTGTCAAGTAAATTTTTTTTTGTTTGAGGATTCTACAAGTAGTTTTTTTGTCGTGTCAGTTTTTTATGAAGATTCTAAGTAAGGGAATTGTGAAGGTGCCCTAGGTAGCGGATCTGTTTGAGTATGTAGTTGCTTTATGATGAAGGCTATATTTGATTTATTTTTATTTTCTATTTTTGATGCCATTCTTCAATGGCTTTGACGTGTCACTGCAGTGGGAGATAACAGTTGGGTCATTATTGACAGATAATCCACGTGGTGAGCTTACGTGGTGAGGACAGTGTTAGGATCGGTTAGGATATGATAAACCCACGTGGAAGATATCGGTTAGGAGGATAAGCCCGTATGCTAGAAATATGGTGAAAAAAAAATGGTTAGGATATGAGCTTTAAGAATCGTATAGAAGATGAGGCCTAAGATGCTTCCTTGAGGAACATCGTGAACTTGAAAAATACACTGACAGGCAAAAAATTCCACCCACTTGATTTTTTCATGTTTTCATCTAAAAATATTTCTGCTTTGGATTGGTCTATTGTTTTTAATGAATAAATAGGTAATCTTTTTGTTTGTTTTCAATTAGGAATGTTAATATAGAGGACAATAACCCTTAATCCTTAATTCAATGAAATGATTCCAGATTCCAATGTTTACTTTCTATGGAATCAAAATTTTATTCAGTGTCATTAGTTCAGTGCTGTTTCTTGCAGCACATTTTTTAGTCTCCGGCTTTTAATTTTTTCAATATTAAGTTTAAAAATGCCTCTTAGTGCTGAAGATGTTGCAAACCAGGATGTCAAAAACCAAAATCGTGCAATTTAGTCCAAAAACAGCAAAACGTACAATTTGTTCAATATCAAATTTTAATATATTATTCTACAGATTGTGAAATGGATAGATAATCGGGTTTGAAGTTTTTACATAGAAGAGGACAAAACATGCAATAACATGGAAATCCGGTCTCTAATTATATTTATCTTGAAACAAAAAACTTCAAATTTTAATATGGATTAATATTTGTTTTCTTTCTCAATTTCTTGCTCAAAATATTATGAATTGATATTTTCAAGAAATAGATAATGAAATATGTGTGTTTTTTTTTGTTGTATTAAATGAAGCCTCTACGATAAATGTATACAAAACCACTTTTAAATCAGAACTGGTAAAAATGTCACTAGTGTGGTTTCCATAATAAATGATTTAATTATGCTATTCTATTTTTAATTCTAAAATGTTTATTGTTTTAGATTTATGAACATACTTTAAGTTAATAAATCCAGTAGGTTTAATATAATTTTATCAAATTAATATGTTCATTGTATTTTTAACTTACTATGTTAATAGAAACTATAATTTTTAACAGATGCTTTACAATAGTACCTTACAGTGCGTTAATTTATGCTCAGCTAAAGTTGCTGCAGAATGGCAGATTTCATCGCAAATGTTACATTTATGCTTTCCAAAACTTAAAGAACTTTGGCAATGTACTTTCATATGATTCTCTAGTTCTGATCTAGATTTACAGTTTTCACTGCAGTAAGCACACTGAAGGCTGACCTACGACAAAGATTATATACAATTTAAAAGCTATGTAAATAGCAAAACTTAAACAATTTTACTTATAATTTATTTTAATTTACTAAAATAGTTCACAAAAACTATTTAAAAGATGATTTAAATAGCTAATTTTTACGCTAGTATAAAACTGTTACAAAAAATTAATTATAAAAAAAACATACTTTGGACTGAACATCCTTGATATGATGTACAAGTTTTTGATGAGCTGTTAGGTCAGCTTCATTCTTAAAGTCACCAAACTTGCAAAACCCACAGACTTCTGTCAAGTTATTGTTGTTATTTTGTAATGTTTCATTCTTACTGCTAGCATCCACTAGGTTCGAATCATTATTTGGTGAACTTGTTGCCAAATTTATAGAAAGATTATTCAGTGATGCTTGATAGGGTACCGAACATTTTCTCTCTAAATCTGACCCTTGCTTAGTATAAACCTACAATAATAATATTATGTATAACATTATTGAAATAGATTTTTCTTAACCTTAATAATAACATTTTTCTCTGTTCCTTACACACGTGTTTGCAAGTGTGTGTATTTATAATTTAATTATATATTACTTAAAGTGTATGGGTAATTAGCAATAATCTGGTCTGGCTATGGTTTGTTATGTGAGCAGTCAGACAATATGTTTGTGTGTATATAAAAAACTGGACCGTAAGAGGAACAGGGCATGGGAACATAAGCAGCTTCAGAAAATTGAAGAACACAGAACACAGAATACAGGTTAATGAAAGGAGAACATCATTTAAGCCACGGGTCAAGGCATGTAGGAGTGAAGGTGGATCTATGATCACAAAACAGGATCAAATATTCACCTGATGGTCGGGTCATTTCGATACCATCTTAATCAATGATGCGGGAAATACAGATGATTTTGTGATCCCAATTAACAAGAATGATGAAAACCATCCTGATCTCCCGACATATGATGACTTTATTGAGTCTGTAAACAACCTGAACAAAATTTATCGTAGTTATTTTTTAAGGTAACCATAATTTTTTAATAATATTTTTTTCTTTGAAGATTAACATTCAATTAATTTCAATCAATATTCACATTAATTTACATAAAAACCTTTGCATTTAGTTAGAACATTTATATATTTTTAATATATTTATGGATTAATGTTTAACAACTTAAGTTCGCCAGTGGACACTTAACAAGCAACAAATATTTATTTTTTTATTTTAATAAATATTAAATCTTAAGTAAATTATTTTTTGTTCGCCAATTGTAAATTATTATTTTCTTCGCCAGTGGGCACTTAACAAGCAATAAATATTTAATTTTTTAAAGGAAGGAGATGAGCCGGGGTGGCGGACTTACGAAAATCACTTGAGACCAAACAAATTAACCGTCCCACTTATCACAACCTTATATCCTACAACTCCTTAGCACTCCGCTTATATGGACTCCCAAAAATTCACAAACTTGGAAATCCCCTCCACCCTATCATCTCCAATATTAACGCCCCCTCAGCTAAACTCAGCAAATTCCTTTTACCCTCTCTTCAATAACTTAATCACAATAATCCTTATGACATTAATAATTCATTCCATCGTAAAGAAGAGTTATCTTTTCCTTATTTTCCAGACAACTTTATACTTGTTTCTCTAGAGGCCGAAAGCCTATTTACCAACATTCCTATACACAAAGCCCTCCACCTTGTAGAGAAAAACTGGACAATCATCGAACCTCACACCACCTTTAACCTCTCCTCATACCTTGAATCCCTTGAGCTTTGTTGCAGATCCGGATACCTCACCTTCCAAGGAAAATTCTTTAATCACATTTCAGGCATAGCCATGGGAAATTCTTTAGCACCAGATATTGCCAATATTGCTCTCAATGACCTTCTTGACTCTGTTATCCCTTCTTTTCATCAAGGCATCATTTTCATCAAAAAATATGTTGATGACCTTCTCCTTGTTGAGAGATGTTGTCAGGGTTAAGACCCTGAAAACATCCCTGAAATTCTTTCCTCATTCAACTCTTACCACCCCCGTCTCCGCTTCACTATATAGAAAGAAGTTAACAATTCACTCCCCTTCTTAGACCTCATAATAATAAAAAACACTGACGGCTATGTTTCTACTGACTGGTACACTAAACCCACGTACTCAGGCAGATTACTCAACTTTTATTCTCAACACCCATGTCACCAAATAATCAATACCGCCAAAAACCTTACTCACCGATCCCTCTCTTTATCTGATACACAATACCACCAAGCCAACACTCAGCCTGCAGAAAATATGCTCCTTTCTAATAATTTTCCTCTCAACACCATACTTAAACTTTTAAATTGCTATACAACCAAAAAGAGTACAACCTCCCCTTCTCCCAACTCCCCACAATCACCTACCACTCCTTTCATGTACAAATCTCTCCCCTATATTCCTATTATCTTAGATAATATACATAAATTTCTTAAATCGACTATAACCAACTTACGTCTTGGCCTTAAGTCCCATAACAAACTTTCTTTCATTTTTACCAACTCGGATGATCCCATACTTTTACAATACCGATCTAATGTAGCTTACCGGGTACTTTGCTCTACTAGTAATTGTAATAGCTCCTATATTGGTGAAACCAAAAATCATCTAAAAACCCGCATTTCCCAACATAAAACATCCATAACTTCCCGGAACCCTTCCGCCTTCAAATTATCAGAACATGCCTTAACCCTCAACCATTCATTTTATTTTGAAAATACCTGTATCATTGCCACGGTCAATAACCATGAAAAAAAGACTCATTTCTGAATCCATCCACATTCACATGGAACTGAATCCTGTTAATCATAAAGTAGATAAAAACTGCATTTCTTTAACATATAGGCACATTTTAAATCTTATAAGTGAAAAATAACTTATATATTACATCCTATTATATTTATTTTTATTTACTTTCAATTTTTATTGATTAATTCAATTTAGTTTTTCATTATTCTAAGTATTTTCGCTTTGTATGATCTCTCTTTTATTTTATTTTAATTTAATTTTATATTTACATTCTACATCAATGTATGATCATCCGTTTTCACTTTGTATTCATTTTACTTTTTAACCATGTCCAAATAATATCTAATATTTAAATGTAATTTCTTACATATGTACAACCAAGTATAATCATAATTATTCATTTTTCCCCTCTCTATACTTGTAAGTTAGTTGTGCAATGTATGGTCTCTTATTTCTATACTTACATTTTACATCTATGGACGTTTTACTTCTTCATTTTTATTTTATTCACATTATACTCTTATCTATAATCTCTTAATTCTATTTTATATGTATATGTATATATTTATAATTTAATATTTCATAAATATAGTATTTTCCCTTGTATCCACCCATTTCTTCAAATTTTAGATACTGTAATATTCTAGAATTTTAATTTGGAAAAATTAAAAAATCCATCAATTAGAAACCAATTCGAGCTAGATGTTAAGAATAGGTTTGAAGCTTTAGAGCTTCCTGACGAGGACCACGAGGATATTGACAAGTTATGGATAGAGATCAGAGATAATATTTAAGCGGTCGGTAACTCGTGTCTAGGAAAAAAGGAAAATAAGAATAACAAACCGTGGTTTGATGAAGATTGCTTAAACATGTGTGAAAAAAGAAAAGCCGCTAAATTAAAAGCTCTAAATAATCCTAGCGAAGACAACCTGGAATACTTCCGAATCTCAAAGAACGAAACGACAAAATTGCTCAAACATAAAAAAAGGGAGTATCTTAAAAATAAAATAATTGAAATAGAAACTAATAGAATCGAAAATAACGTAAGAGACATGTACAAAGGTATAAACAGATCACGTAAATATGTAGGGTCCGTAACGTCTGGAATTAGGGATGATAATAACAATATTCTGACCGATCCGGTTGACATATTGAATAAGTTTAAGGACCACTTTGACAATATTTTAAATACGGGAAATTATGATCTGTGTCCTCCTTCTGAGTACCAGAGTGCTGAACCATTAATAGAAGGACCAAGTAAAGAGGAAGTTGAAGTAGCTATCGGAAAATTAAAATCATATAAAGCTGCGGGAATCGATAATATTCCTACTGCACTAATTAAGGCATGCGGAGAAGCTGGAGTTTCTAAAATACATCGGTTGGTTAAAAAGATATGGGTGAACGAGAAATTACCTGAAGAATGGAAAGAATCTATTCTTATTCCGATTCACAAAAAGGGTCCGAGGACGGATTGTAATAACTATCGAGGAATTTCACTCCTTCCGGTATGTTATAAAATATTCACTTTAATCTTAACCAGTCGAATCACGGAATACGCCGAGGAAATTATTGGAGACTACCAATGCGGATTTAGACGGAATCGTTCGACTATTGATCAAATATTTTCTTTACGGCAAATATTAGAGAAAAATTTGGAGTATAACGGTATTGTTCACCAGCTGTATATAGATTTTAAAAAGGCTTACGATTCTATTGACCGCCAGAAACTGTATAATATTCTAATCGAGCAGGGGATTCCAAAAAAACTAGTAAATCTAGTCAGGATGTGCTTGACGGAGACACTCAATAAAGTTAGAATCGGTAATAATTTGTCCGAAAAATTTGAGGTTCGTTCGGGCTTAAAACAGGGGGATTCTCTTTCGCCTGTCCTGTTCAATTTGGCATTAGAACATGCCATTAGGGAGGTAATGCGAACCGAGAAAGGGTTGGATTTGGGCGGGACAACATCCGTGCTGGGCTATGCTGATGATCTGGTACTGTTAAGCGAAGACGTTGAAACTATAAAACTAAATACGACAACGTTAATGAAAGCCGGTAAAGAACTAGGACTCGAAATAAACGTGGATAAAACAAAATATATGGTTAGCTGCAAAAATAGCGATACTACTGGAGATATCGATATAGATGGTAATGTGTTTGAACAGGTAGATAAATTTAGGTATCTAGGTTCTACGATAACTAGAAAAAACGAAATTGAAGAAGAGATTAAGGTTAGACTGAAGGCGGGGAATGCTTGTTATTTTTCTGTGACAAAACTACTTAGTTCGCGCCTCTTGTCCCGAAACTTAAAAATTAGACTCTATAAAACAATTATCTTGCCTACAGTTCTTTATGGATGCGAAACTTGGCCGCTTACATTAAGGGATGAGCAGCGTCTTAAGGTTTTTGAAAATAAAGTATTGCGTAGAATATTCGGACCGAAGAAGGATGAGTTAACCGGAGAGTTCAGACGGTTACACAACTCCGAATTGCGTGAGATGTATCCGGGTAATATAATTGAGGTAATTTCATCGCGGCGAATCAAATGGGCTTGTAAAGTTGTTGGGCTTAGTAACGAGAGAATTCCTAAAAGGTTAATATTTGCTGTGCCGAATGGTAAGCGTCCGAGGGGTAGACCGAAGCGAAGGTGGGAAGATTGCATTAAAGCCGATCTGAAGGGAC